TTTTATATAAAGTCCAACTTTAGTCAATATACCGAAGCTGTATACAGTTTTATAATTTAGTATTTCAAGCAGCGCCATGCCTTTTCGTAAGATAATCTTTTATAGTATAACAGCGCTCACGATTTGCTTGAAGTAAATACTTTCTTGCGGCAAACGCAGAAATGTTTAAGCTGAACAAACAAACAATAAAAAAATTTTCAGTAAGCAAGTAGAGTAAAAATAATTGTGTGGCCATATGGCTAAATATTTGAATAGCACTGTGGAATTAGTGCCTGGGTATGCTTGGTGCACCAGTATTTGAAGGTGGAGCTGCTTTACAAATCAAATAAAAGATAGAGTTTCTGGCAGCCTTTGTTAGGTGTGTGAAGTGTCACATTGTTATTTAAACAATGAAATTAATCGCTTTAATAGTTGTTGGTAAGCTGCTGTATTTTTTTTTTCGAAAAACATATTTTGCATTAATAAAATTAAATTAATAACATTACTCAAATACAATGTTAGTTTTGCTCCTGCTTGGAATGGTTTCAGCACAAACGGAAAACTGTTTCTGTATGTGGATACAATGGAGAAACCTAAAAAAGTTTCTCCAGTCCCTGCCAGCTGGAATCAGAAATCAGAGCAATGTGAGAGCGGCAAAGATATGTTCAGGTTTCACTAACACTTGAAGAAATATTTGACTAAAACTCTTTAATGTTTGTAGCTATAGAAAGATCAGAATCTGCTGAGCCACAGGGCAACTGAAATGACGTAAGGAGCAACTACATTTTGGGTGAAACTATACTATACAAAAGAAAAAAAAAAAAAAACTATTTGTGTGGTAGATATATATTATAGTTAATCTATTTTCACAGGATGCAATGGTCCCTTGATCAATGATCTTTGTCAAAATTTCATTAAGATATCTTGCCAGTTAAAATTTTTCCATTAAACTGCATAGTTTTGATTGTTATATTTGTATGATAGCTATATGCTATAGTGGTTCGATCTTGAAAACTCTTCGCAAATTACACCGTTATATTTGGAAGGTAACTCGTGCTAAATTTCTTGACGATATCTCGTCAAATGAATAAGCGCTTCATACAAGAACTTGACTCCTATCGGTCACCTTGTATGACAGCTATATGCTAGAGGGGTTGGATATCGGCGGTTCCGACAAATGAGAAGCTGCTTAAGCGGAAAATAATATGTACACAATTTTTCTTTTTAGCTCGATATACTTAACCCAGCAATTCTAAAACTTCATAATTTTGTCTAAAAAATAAATTTTCTGGATGTAACCCTCTGATCGTCCTCTGATTTCACTTCAAAAAGATGGCTGAAGCGGCCAATTTTACCAAAATTATAGGGCGAGTCTAATTCAATGCGTTGTTGTGGTGGAGAAGTACTTTGGTCTTCACGAAATATAATATTTTTGCTGAAATTCGGCGTCGAATCAGGCCAATACTTAGATGCAAGCTTTCTTCCTAATAGGCGATAGTACAGTCTACGCCTTCTTTGGAGCAGGTTTGCTGGGAACGTCCACCGTTTCGACTATTTCCTTGCTTCCACTTAAGCTTCAACTTAAGACACATTGGGTAGTTGGAGAAGATTCATATTTTTCCAAATCCATTGAGTGGCTGATTAATGCTTAATTTGCTACCACCCGCGACCAAAAAGGGCCTATTGATGTCCTACGGATGCCTCTCTTGTGAACCAATCAACCAGCTGAACTTGTCAATTACCTTGGAACATACGCAAAGGTATGTAATATTTACATATGTATATAAGTATGTATATGTGCAGGCACATGCACTTGCCGCTGGTGTGTAAACACGTTTGGGGTGCTTTAAACATTCCTCAAAGTACACTAACCCCATGTGTACTTGTCTGTTTGTTTGCACAGCATCTATGGTATGCGTTTCTACGTAGAGTTTCTCAAATTCCCATACTGTACGATGTCTGCCTAACCTCAGCCGCTGAAATAGAATAAAAAAATAGCAACGCGTCAATATCTCCGACTGCAGTGCCGTCGAAGCGGAAACAGAGGTCAACGATTGCGGCGAAATATTATGATGAAAGCCATGTGTGCTCTCTATTACCTTTCGGGCATTCAGGTAAACAAACCAATGGAAAACTACTAGAGCTCTGCTACCAGCCCAGCAACTTTCCGTCTGAGCAAACACACTCTTCTACAAAGCGGCAGACACACAAACTGCGAACTCTCACATTCTTCCTCCATACGCGCATTAGCACATGTTAGGACATCTAGCAGTTGTTGCCAAGTTTAATGGCCACCAGACATGTCAATCGTCTGCGGAGAACTCACAACATAGTGGCGGACCCAGCGCTAGACCAGTCAGCAGAAACGTCGACATTGATGGTTTTCGAGGTGGTTGTGCACCGTAATCTCTGCGAATTTCAGGCGTCTGTCTTACGACGATTGTGTGTGTGTGTATATGTGCGTGTGGTCTCTAGATGATTTGCCTGTGGTCGTCATTAGAGACTGTTGCGCATGGGATGTGGCAGACTCTGCAGCGGCTTGTGGGTGGTGTTAGGCGGCATGCTGTCGTCACTAGCATCATTGTTTGTTTACTCAATCGTGCAAGGTTTTCAATAAAAGTTCAACGTTTTCGCAACTGACGATGGCGCTGGTGATAACGTGGCATCTGGCTCTCTTACCTTGTTTGGGATTTTCTTTCTGAATGTCAATAACCTCGGGGTATTCTGTTAAAATTCTGCAGCGAAAACATTATTAAGCACAAATAAATACTTACTACGGTAACCAGTAACAGTTGTTTTCATTGGTACATGAGCAAATGTGGTATATTATCTATATACCCATATATATATGTATGTATATATTATGGTGGCTATGTATATATATTTCTTTGTTAATATATATTTAGCGAGTAAGTTTTAGTGGCAGGAATTAGCAAGCAATTTTGTTGACATTTTTTGCATAAGTAGTATCTCAAATCTCCTTCAACCTTACAAGATTCCGAAATAATAGAGTATCTCTTTCCGATAAGGAAAACTGCAGCGGAACAACATGAAGAAGATAAGCATACGCGTCTAAAGGCAGGCGGCAATAATCTCACAGGGTATTATGTCAGTTAAATGGTTTTAGAAGCAAGCAGGCAGTAGCTATTGGGGCGGCTGGAATCCGGCTGCATATACAGGGATTGTCCGGAAAGTAATAAGGCAGTCTTCCGCCGCGACTATACTTCGAAGCGTGCGCATACCGACTGGGCTCTGTAGATGGTTGGTCTGGATTCGAGTGGTTGGTCAGTTGTCTCTGAGCACCTGAAGAGTCAGGACAAATAGCCGAAAATACAGGGCTCATTAGAGCAAGGATAAGCGATTAAATTCTGTGTGAAACTCGGTTAATCTGCGACAGAGATGTTTGATATAATCAAGCATGCTTCCTTCCCCAGATATTGCTTTAGCAAGAAGTGGTGTGTTTCGGTGGCACCAGGCCTTTTTGGAGGGCTGGGAAGAGGTCGCTGAGGAAGACCGAAAGAATGAGCACATCCAATGTGAAAACGATGTTCATTGTCTTTTTTTTTTGTCAAAGCCGTCAAACCGTCAACGCCAAGTTTTACTTGAAAGTTCTCAATAGGCTTAAACGAAGAGTCAAACGAGTCCGATAATACATCGCAGCCGATTGTAAGTTGCACCTCGACAACGCCATACCTACGCCGCTCTGACCGCTTTTGTTGTAAGCAGCTACCTAACCAAAGCTGACTTTCCAACCCTTCCGCAGTCGTCCAACAGCCCAGATGTGACCCCCTGGATTTTTGTGTGTTTCCTTGCTTGAAAAGCCCGCTGAAAGGGGATCCAACCTCCTGTACTTCTGGAACACGTGTTATATATCTAAGAGCTTAGCAGTTCAAACGACTAGACTTGAGATGAAGTCGTTCCTACATTTCACAAATTCGCTGACGTTCTGTGTGGCGAATACTTTAGCTTAAACTAAACTGAACTTCCATCTGATATTACCAGTGGTTGCATGTGTAAAGTAACAGCCGGCCAGTATAACCCTTTCATATGTCAAACCTTGGAAAGAAATATCGAAATCATAGAGATATCTGCGATTAAACAAAGCGTAAATTAAAATAATGAATAGAAAACTATCTGAAGATGACCATACTCACAATAAGTCACCGGTTGAATTTCCTTAATATCCGATAACCGATAATATCGAGGAACATATATGTTCCGGAGTTTGGTTATATAGTTAAAATCTCTTTGTTAACGCCTTTAATACATTAGGTTATAACATTAATAAATTTGAATATTTGTCTATGATGTACGAGGTCCAGTAACGTACAGAAATAATATTAAATTTTATTGCAAAAGTATGAGTGAAAGAGTTTTAAAGTTATGAGCACCGATACGAAACGGTGAGTTCTGAGTTAAGTCATTTAAGATTTTGATCACTAAAAAGCGGTTTCTGATACAGTATTCTTGAGATATTAGCATAGCAGCTATATTTCTCTTACCTGCTATATTTTTCATAGCATAAAATATTAAAAAAAAAGGATCTTAATTTTAAATTGTCCAGTTTGTATGGCAGCTAAATGTTATAACAGTCTGATCACAACAACTTTCTCGGAGATTATACTGCTGTTTTGGACAATGAGCTGTGCCAAATTTCGTGAAGATAGCTCGTCAAATAAAATAGCTTTACATCCAAGGACTAAATTTCGATCGTTCAGTTTTGTAGAGCAGCTAAATACTATATAATGTCGGTGACATCGACGAGTGAACAAATTTTGGAGTGAAAAGTACGTGGGTACAATTTTAGATCGATATCTCAAAAACTGAAAGGCTAGTTCGCGTGTATACCGACGGACAGAAAGACGGGCATATCAGAGTCGACTTACCTCGTCATGCTGATCATATCGGTGACGATTTTTCTTTCAGAGTGTTACAAACTACGTAGCAAATTTAATATAAACTGTTCAGTGTAGTACAAAATAATTTGTTTTTAAATTAACATATGTATTTATAAAGCTTACCTTAGAGCAGTGATAAAATCCCGCTTGGACGCTTTTTGCTGACGACCTCTGTAAAAGTTAAAAATTTCATAAAATATTTTTCCAAAATCATAGAACGAAAACGAATAGAAAGAGCTAAATATGAAACGAAAAATTATTCCTAAAATTAAAGATAATACTCTCTTGAATATATATTAGATTGTCTCCGATCCGCCTGTTTGTCTTTTGAATTTCGCGGCTATGTATAAAGCGTTCCAACGGTCGTATCTGGCAATACTATAAATCTTTGAAGAGTCTTGACATAACCTACAAAACGACGCTATGCATGATTAGTTTGGATATTGCCTCCAACCGTTATAGAAATAAGCATGTAGTTCACTAACGCCGAAATTCTTACTATTTTAAAGTTTTCCTTCGTTAAAGGCAAATCCGCTAGAGAAACATTCCATGAGAATAATGGTGTTTTGGGGGATGACTGTCTATCACTTCGAACTGCTGAGGAGTGGTTTCCATTCCGAGCGGGTGAAAAAAAACACCACTGATAAGCCAGCCAGCGGAAGATCTGTGACGACGAATACCGATCAAATCATGGAAAACCTCAAGTTAGACCGGCATGTGGCATCTCGTGACATCGCCCAGAAGATATGAGTTAGTCACCAAAGTATATTGAACCAGCGGCAGTAGGCTGGATACACATAAAAACTTGATGTTTGGGTGCCGCATGATTTTAGGCAAAAAAACCCTTCTGCACCGAATCAACGCCTGTCATATGCTGAAGTGGAACGAACTCGACCTATTTTTGAAGCGCATGGTGACTGGTGGCGAAAACTCCAAAATATCAAGCGAAAACGCTAGTGGTCGAAAGCCGGTGAATCGTCTCAAACAGTGACCAAGCCGGGATTGACGGGCAATAAGGTTTTGCTGTTTGTTTGGTGGGATTCGAAGGGAATCATCCACTATGAGCTGCTCCCACATGGCCAGACGATTATTTTTGGTATCTACAGCGAACAACTGGACCGCTTGAAGTGTGACTCGTCAGTAGCTACGAGAGCTCGGATGAGAGGTTTTATCACAATCACCATATAGCCCGAACATAGCGCCAAGTGATTACCACCTGCTCCTGTCCATGGCGAATGCCCTTGTTGGTGTAAAGTTGAACTCAAAAATGACTGTCCGAGTTCCTCGCAAATAAGGAGGGGGGTTTCTACGAGGGAGGTATTATGAAGTTGCCGTCTAGATGGAAACCGATTATCGAATGAAACGCCGCATATTTGAACTAAATCCGATCACAGTAACACTTTTCATAAATCATTGTATAAAGGCAAAAAAGCGGAAGGGAGATATTTTAAATACACATGGAATTCTAAGTTATCATGTTAAAAAATGTCATATTCATAGGTGGCTCGATGTAATAACCTCTGAAATTAAATTTTAGCATACCACAATAAAGATCTGCATAGACTTTACACTTTACATATTCCCACGGAAAAGAGTCTAGCAGTGTGATATTACACAATCTTGGTGGTCAATCCACCGTAAATAATCTGCTCATGGAAATGTTCGCTGACCATGTGTCGGAACTGGCAACGTCTTGTTGAAAAAAATGTCGCCGAGATCACGAGCTTCAATTTCTGGCATTAGATAGTCGGTTGCAGTGGCGAACTCCATCGACGGTTACGTTATCACCAGTATCATTATTGAAGATATCTCGAAAACTGATTAAAGTTCAACAGAAATAAATTGTGAAATAACTGTTATGATATGAAAATCATGTTTAAAAAATAATTTCAAAACTTAAACTTCATTGAACTGCCTACGAATCAAATTAAACATTATGTTTCTCCTATTTTCGATTCGCTTAAGCTACTTATGACACTGAAAAGAAACGAATAGTCGTTTTTGGTGAAATCAAATCGCTGCACATTTGCCTTAATGATAGCAATTTAAGTCGTCAGGATTTTTGATAGCCCACTTCGAAGTCATAAAACGTTTTTCGAATTCTTTCAGTTGCCATCTTCACAACAACTGGCTAAAAAAGAAAAGCTAGCGCTGAAAAAGCGCATGAAAACTAACACACACACACAGATACCGGAATCAGCTGCGTATTTAATGTCTGCTGTCCCGGAATACCAAACATCACTCACACACACACATATGTGAATGCAATGTGCATGTGTGTAAGTGCCAGCGCTGGCACATATGCAAATCTTATCGAGAATATGCTCAGCAACATATGAGTGTGAATGTGAGTAGTATGTGTGGATATTGTATACAAACAAGTCGTTGTCCTTTTTTGGTATGCGCGCTGCTCGTTTACGTTTTGCTTAGAAATCACTGCAAACCGTTACGATAGTAAAAAAGCAAATTTAGGTACAGATTGACGAAAGCTGAGTGGAGGCTGCTGCTGTATGGCATTTGTGCATGCGTTGGTTGAGTTCGGTCGAACGTAGTGGCACGTGCAGCATGTGCAACACTGTTGCATCAATCGAATATATGCTTATGAAGACAATAACGTAATGCAAGCCGTGTACGCTATGATGATCCGTAAGGGATGAGAGTGGCGTTTCTACGCAAATAGCGAGAAGTCGCAATGTTTGTGCTATCAATGCCTAAGCTTCCGATTGCAGCATGTAAGCCATGTTAAATTGCACGTAACCGTGCACATTTGTTGCATCAATGATATGGAATTATTTCACATGAATTATTCAATTGTGTCGTTCGCAACAATACCCGGAACGGCCACTAACAACAATTGCATGTTAGGATTATGTTGTTGTTCAAAGTATAAACTGCCTGGATTGAATCAATTTCAGGAACCCACTCGAATACTGAGGTTGAGTGTAGATAAGGGTTAAGGTGCTGGATTGATTTCATTACCTGCATAAACTCAATATTCAACTTTACAAGACAGTTTGCTTGGGTGCCGGAAACTGGCACCACCACCTTTTTGTAAGCCCAAGGAAAGCATTGGCTCACCTTGAAACTATTTACTGAAATTATGCAAATTTAAAATGTGGTCCTTTCACTCACTTCCGAAAATTGTAAGTTGTATTCTTAATCCCTGGAACCAGCTAAATATTTGGTACTAGTTTCCAATTCACATAGATTACTTTCTAATCTCTTAATATTGTCTCTCCAAGTCCTGATGAGGATAGGGTCATTTATAGAAGTGCACAGAAGTGAGGACAGCGCCATTCACTTGGGAATGGTTCTTTTTCAAACAGGCTCAAACAGCTCAAGACTTCCAGTCTTAGACCAAATATCCTCAGGGTAGTCAAAAAAACACCCGTTCGAAGGCAAGCTAAAATGAGAGGACGAATCATCGCTCCTCAGGGCTGTACGCGGAATTTGGGGCCCGCCACTTCCCCATAGAAAAGGATGCAAAAGAACAACTCTTTTGATGACGATCCCTGCAAACGTGTAAAAGATTACAATTTAAGATCATGCAGCTGGATTATCCGGGCCCTAAATTGGGAAGGTGCCGATGCCCAGCTGATTGATGTCCTCGTAGGATTAAACGCTGACACCACCGGCGTTCAAGGTACGAGGACTTAGACGAGTAGGCCCTTGTGACTACATGACACTGGTTGAGCCCAAACTCCGAGCAATGAGAAGACGATGTGACCAAAGATGTATTTTTTAAGCGGCTGGAGCGCGTTCATGACAACTATCCCCGCAACGATGTAAAAACTGTGCGTGGCGACTTATAAATCCATGGTGTAACCTTTCCAAATGGGTTGAGGCTAAACGATTTCGCAAAGGACTGAAATATGATTGTTTGTAGTACTGGATTTCAGCACAAGGAAACTCATCAAATTCAAACCATAATCGATAGTGATTGACTGACGATATATACGTCTGACTATATTGACGTCTGTACTCGTATGCTCCTAGAATCTAAAATCGACTGGGATCATTATCTTATAGTAGCGAAGGTAGGCGCCGCCTCTGTACAGCAAACCATGCCCGTTGACAAACACAAGGAAGGTACGACGTTTATACAACCGATAACAAAATTCTTTTCTACTCCACTTGCTCTCCTGCTCTCTAAAAACACATATCAGTAACTCGGTATAAGGTACTGCCCTGCAAGCTCCTTACTTACAGCTGCTGGTGAAACCATTGGTTTTCGTGAAGTTCGAAAGAACAGCTGGTACGATGACGATTGTCACGTCACAGGGGAGAGAAAGCCGACAGCTTATCTCGCAATATTTCGGTCGACCACAAGACATGAGAGATGGGATATTTACCGAGAGCTGAAGAGGGAAGCGAGACTCATAGGCAGACCAAAAAAAAAAAAACAAAAAAAAAGCCCGAGTATGAAGAGCTTGATGACAGTGGTAATGCTCGAAAATTCTATGAAAAGATGCGGTGGCTCTTGTCGATCCCAAAGTGGTGTATTCGCCGATGTTTAGAGCATATTAAAGTTATGAAGGCGACACTTCCACAGCCTGCGGGAAGTGTAGCATCTGGAGATGGCGAACTTGATTCTCCATGCGATGACTGTGGATTAGGTGGGCCATTGCTCGACTAAGGTTCGAATAGCTCCCCGTTAATAAACTAATTAGACTTTATCAGTGTGCACTTAGAAGTGGAAAATTTACTTTCGGCAGATTTTCACTACGCGCGTAAATCTTTTAAAGCCGGCATCGACAACACCAAAAAGGAAACTGCCTCTGTGCCGATATCTCTGAACTTAGTACCCCTGAAAACGAAGCCGTCAGGATCGGTAATATCTCCTGTCATTAACAAAAAAAAAAAAAAAAAAAAAAAAAAAAAAAAAAAAAAAAAAAAAAAAAAAAAAAAAAAAAAAAAAAAAAAAAAAAAAAAACCGTCGTCACGGTGACATTGACATACTGTGCTGGCTGGTGTTGTTGTCCGGGTGGAGGAGAATATACTAGCTTTGAAGGAGTTCCAGAAAAAAAAGATGTCTGTGGCATAATGATACATTTTGTGGACTTTGGACCAATATATTTATGTTTTTTCTCTGGATATCTAAAATTTTCTTTCTGCTTTAGAAAGTCCTAAATATCTGCATTACTACATTCTTTTTAAGCAGGTTCGTCCAA